AGAGAGAGAGAGAGAGAGAGAGAGAGAGAGAGAGAGAGAACAAAGAAAAAAACTTATTTAAGAAGAAGAGTCATATCAAATAACACAGAAGGAGTTGGGAAGGAGAGTTGGACAAAGTACTGTTTAAACTTGCGACTGAGCGCTCCTGTGGGGCCTGAGTTAGTGAGTGAGTGGTGGACCTGTAACTGGAGAAACCGTCTGGAGCTGGCACGTCACTGTGGACACCTTCCTAAAGCACAGGGGGTAAAATGTGTCTTCACCAGGGGATCTCATGTCACCCCCTTGACCGAATGACAGGTCCTCTCTGTTGACATTATGTACCTCCCAGGGTGGTGCCGTGTGAGGCACAGAGCGCCATCCGTCAGGAATCCTTGCTAAGCCGCAAATCACGAACCTGTTAGAGTTAACTAAACCGAATCTGACGTAGACCCACGTCTACTTTATCGAAAATACGGGGGACAGAGGAGAACGTCAAATGACGACATGGAAAGGCCATCAGACAAATGGCAGACGTGGGACATTCTCCAGAACAACCAGACCCTTCAAAAGCCAATGTCGCAAAGACATGTGTGTGTGGTGTTCTGGGCTAACAGCTGCGTCGGTGACATGAAGAATGTCCTGTGGTGCCTGGGTTTTGATTGGATGGTGGTTTTAAAAAGCTTTGAAATGCCTTCTTGGAACACACGAGGAAATTTGAACTTGGAGGTTGGATATCCTGGGGCCTTTGCTCACCATCTTCCGTGTGACAATGATGCTGCGGTTGTGTAAGAAAGTTCTTAGGAGACTGAAGTAGTTAGGGGTAGAGTCATGATGTCTCTGACTTTAAATAGTTTAGAAAATAAACACACGAGGACCCGAGAGCTGCGTGAGAGCTGGCTGCGTGGGTAGATAGGAAACACGCGGGGACAGCGCAGGTGCCGGCCCAGCGGAGTCACGGCAGTGCTGAATCGAGGTGGGATTGGTGCTCTACTTTGGTGCCTTTTCTGAATATTTGAGCGTTTTCATAACATCAACTTGGGGCCACTAAAACAGAATTTGCACTTTTGCCAACCCTGCCGTGCGGCCCGGTTAGAGGACAGCTGGAGTCCCCTGCGAATCTGACCTCTGAAGTCACCTGGTTGGGCAGCAGGACAGGAAGGTGAGGCACTCGGTCATCTCACAGGCCGGGGATCACGATGGCACTGTGACCCTACGCTGTGACCCTGTCACTGGAGCAGGGGGCGTTCCAGGGCGGAAACCCTGAGTCTTGCTGCCTGGCCTCCCCCGGCCTGCAGGGCTCTGTCCTCTGTACCCAGTGCTGCAGGGTCTCCTGGCCCTCGTCCACCCTCTGCTTCCAGTCCGTCTACACCACAGGTTGGAGGCTCTGAGTCACCTGGGTCCTGCAGCCGCCAGCCAGAGCCACCGTCCTCCCCACTCTGAAACTCAAAGCTCTGCCGCGACATGCATTCATTGATACATCCATAAATCTGCCTGACCAGGGAGACCGCGGGCAATCCCGCCAGGCAGGTGAGGCGGTGGTGGGACTCCCGGAATTGGAAGTTAAGGGCTGGTGTCTGCAGCAGGAAGGCTGTCGTGGATCTTCCTATCACAGTGATTTCTCTGAGACCAGGCCACGTGCCACCAAGCATATGCCTCCGCCGAGCGGCCCTGTTCCTCATGGCTAGGTTAGGTAGCTAGTAGGGCTGGCTGGGAAATGAGCCCATGTTTGGAGAGTAGCGTGAGGGCAGGATCGTCAGGGGAAACGCCTCCCAGGAGGCATCCCCTGGTTTGAGACTGGAAAGATCCCGTCTGCTCACTGGAGTCACCTCAGTCGGGTCTGCCAACTGCAAGGGCTGGCCCCACCCACAGCGTCCAAGTCCCCACCTCCTGGGGACCCCCGGCCTCCACATTTTAAAACATCCCAGGAGAGTCACAGGTGCAGCCAAGGCTGAGAAGGGCTGATCTAGAGGTTGGCACTGCACGGACCAGGGTCCCCGCATGTTCCTGGAGCAAGGGTCCCCGGCCCCACCGCCGCGGCTCCTGCTCCTGCCCAGATGAGACCAGGGGAGGGTAGCTCAGGAGAGCTGTGCTCAGGGGGAGGGTGAAGGGCAGCCTTGGCCTCGGGTTCCAGGGAAGCCAGGAGGGGGCTGAGCAATGCCACCTGTCAGCCCCCGGTGACAAATGACATTCCGACCAGGATCTCCTTAGATACTTCTAAGCTGACCCCTGCAGATAGCTATCAAAAGACCAACCTGTCCTCCAAGATTAACGACTCTGGAGAGAGGGAGAAGCCCAAGCCCCGGCTGGGAGCAGCTCTGGAGCCCTCCTGCCCAGCCTGCCCTCTGGGGGACAGTGAGGGCCCAGGGAGCTGCCCTCTCCCCATGCCCTGCACAGGGGGCCTGGGTGGCTCCTGGCAAGGTGGCCTTCCCTGCGCCCGCCCACTGTCCCCGGCTCCCTCCCTCCCTCCCCACCTGATCAGCTTCTCTTTCCATGGCTCTTCCTGAGCTGGGGCCTCCATGGGCATCCTCCTGCCCTTTCCTGCCGCTGTCCCCTTCCTCCTCTGTCTCTCCCGGGTCTCTCTGCCTGGCTTTCCCCTGTGCACCTGGGACTGCTGCTCCTGTCTGCCGGACCCGCCTCTGGGACTCCTCTGTCTCCATCTGTCTCTACCATGTACCTGTCTCAAGTCTCTGCCCTGCCTCTGTCTCTACCTGGTCTCTGCATCTCTTTTCTCCCTCTGAGTCTCCACCACCTCTGTCTCTGTGGCCTGACTTCCTGTGTCTCTCTGTCCTCTGCCTTCTCTGGCACTGTCTGGAAACCTCAGTGGGGGCTTCCAGGAGGGTAAGTGGGGGCATGTTCAATACTTCTAGCATTTCTTCACCCTCACGTAGTACTGAGAATTGACAACTCAGGAGGCCGAGACAGGAGGATTGAAAGTTCAAGGCCAAACTCAGCAACTTACCGAGACCCTGTTTCAAAACAAAAATATATCTCTCTGCTTTTCACACCCCTGCTTTGATGTACACCTCCCTCCTGTCTCCCACCCCATGTTCCAGTATGTGCTCT